TACTTAATTGGATATTTCCTACTATACTTTTTAGCACGTAGCTATTTATTATTAACATTATTTTTCTGGCGTCTGATTTCTTTTTAATTATAGGAAATGCGTTTTACTAAGATACATAAGCTTTTGGTATTGACTGTATAGCCAATATATCCTTGTGTCTTCAATATGCTCTTTATTTTCAACTGTTGATACCAAATCGCTTAATCATCATCGAATTGCATCAAATTCTACGCATTCCAATTGACGGATGACGTACTGTCAGCATAGTTGTTAGGAGTCAACTGTTTTTTAACAAGTTAACAAGACTTGTTATCGACGAGTTCGAAGTCGAGTCGAGAAGTCACGATGCGTGCCTGTTTCGCCGGATGACTGATATATCGTTTTAAGAATTCGTGGCAAGGTTCCCCGTTCCAGGAAGCCATTATTCACGAGAGGGATCGATGCATCTGTGGGGAACATCGTGTAATTCCTCAGGAACGAGACAGATCCTCGAAGTGTCAGGTGGTTCCCAAACCGCACGGCTGATCGATAGAAACGTGGTTTAATGACAAGGGGCCGAGCATCGACGGGTCGGCCAATATCCGTCTTACATGAGAACAGCCGTACGTGGCCGACGGTAATTGCCGCCGTTCGTCATCAACCATGGTACCCGTCCCTTCGACGGTTCCTTCCCTTTGACTTCGTACAACCGTCGCGCGCCCGATTCCCGCCATTCTTTTCACGTACTCGTCCGTGAAATATTCGTAACGTGTCGTGTGAAGTTCACCAAGCAAACATTTGTCCGCGGAACTACATTCGTTCAACGGTACGAAATTAAGAGCCGTCCGATTCTTATATTTGTGTCCGGGAAAGTTAACGCAGAGTGTAATTGGAAACAAAATTGAACGAGTTCTCGTGGCAAGCAACGCTGCGTCAGGAGGAGTTTCGAGCAAAAAATAATTCGCCGATCTAAACGAAGTTCGAAAACTCGCTGTAAAGTGGGTTCGTTATAAACTCGTCAGTCGTTACCGAGAGGGGTTGACAATGATAAATATGCATGAAAAAGACGCGCGATTTAAATGAAGGTTTAAAACGCGACGATCATCAGTGGGAAGTAATTTCGCCGTGATAGGGGGTGAAGAAAAAAAGAGTGGGTGCTGCTCCTTCCATCCCGAGGAAGTAGTTACCGGTAAAGTGGCGGGTACTTTAGATATTCCTCGCACGTTTTTAAAGTGTCCCGGTGTCAAAGAGTTCGCAGAAACTCTTCCTGGTCGGTAGCACGGATCGTCCTCGTCCACTCCCCAGAGAGGATTTTCCTGAATTCGTTTCAACTGGATTTTCTATCCTCCCCCACCCGAGTCAGATACACTCCGGCATAGGGACACGGTTATACACACGGAGGCGGCAGACTGTCGCACGGAGGACGAAATGTATCTTCGTGGAACAATATTTTCGTTTCCATCCGCCGTGATCTCTGCGCGTCGGTATGGCCATATGTGTTCTGGATATGCCACGAAAGAGAAAACACGCGCTATGTAGGTATTACTACCGCGGAATCAGGTTTCATTCGGCCAGATTCGACTCAAACTCGGAACTCGTTTCCTCGCAAATCCACCCTCCCGGATGTTTTTAAGGCTTCAACGTTAAGACTACCGCCGCGAAATTTGTATCCCCTACCCAATTTCGGATTACTTTTTAAGTACGTCAGGCGACATTATCTCAAAAGTTAAGCAACAGGATTAGAAAAGAGGTCAACGGTATGAAAATGTAAGCGTAACTTTCAGAGAAGAAGATTGTTGTAAAGCGGTGGAAAGTCGGAGGAAGAAAAATGAGAGAAAACAGAACCGGTGAGAAGGGTTGGCATAAAGCGAGAATGCTGATCGATTACTACAGTACATGCACAATAACAGGGCGATGGAGTCATGTATCCGGGCTAAACAGCCCATTTGCCCTGCACAATGGGAGCGACGTTGCTGTGGGCTCGACTTAATTACCAGAGGCAGCTGCCTTTGGCGTAGGCCGGCAGAGGCGAAAGGACACCTTATCGGGTACAAGCCTGCGTCAAGCTTCATTTACCAGATTCCCGAGAATGCGAAACTCACGTGCGCATCGATGCCCCTTAACTGGGAAATTAGTTCATCCTCTTAATTAAAAAATAGATAAGGAGAGTATTGACACGCTGAACTAAATCCATAGGATCAAGGAAAGCCAAACGCGTTTGATACACGTATTGTTTCTCACGATCAAACTGGAAATGCTGCTCGACGATAAATTGTTCGCGAACTTCGAGCATCCTCGTGGATGTACTTTCGTTCCTTATCTCTCGCATAATACGCGCCGCTGTATCTCGGGACGGAACCGGGTAAGAGTTTCTCGGGGAAACAAAACAGTTTTCCGATAGTTTCGCTAGTGTGAAAACGAACAGAGTTCGTAGAGCCTGGCCATTAGTCTGTAAGAGCCGGCACGCTATCCTTCTCTAAGGTACAGTATGTATCATCGCAAGAGGAAAGATAAATTACGAATCTGCTTGGCACTTACCAAAGTTTTCATAAAGTTCACCAGTTCCAGAATGCCGCTGCATTAAACGGGGTAAACCTGCAAATAGAGAAATACTTGCGGTTAATACGTTGCGATGCGGTTAAGAAAATCAATTTTATTGAATGTGTAGTAAACTTGATACATATTTAACGTCTTGACATTGATTATTTAAAATTTTGTCTACAGTATGGATTAATTCTATCATCGAATTAATGGATACACGATAATGGACACATAATTTACATTGAGAAATGATTATCCACTTTTAAATTGATAAAATTGTGTTTACAGACTCTGACCTAATATTACTGTGATAACATCACTGTTTCATGAAGAGCAAGCGCAATAACCATTTAGTCGATCAGTAGCTTTCTCGAAGTTAGCAATGGCTTCGATATTTTTGACACTGTTCGCAGGAGCAGTAGCATTGCTGTGTTTTTATTTGTATCTGAGATTTACATATTGGAAGAGGAATGGAATCCCAACTGCCAGAGGATGCTATCCCATCGTTGGCCACGTGTTGCCAGTTTTATCCAACAAGAAAAGTTTCAACGATATGGTGCAAGAGATATACAACGAGTACCCAGATTGTAGCATGGTTGGGATTTACAGAACAATCAGACCGGCATTAATTATCCGTGATCCTAATTTAGTGAAAACCGTGATGCAAAGTAATTTCTCGAACTTCCACACAAATGGACTTCATATTGAAGCGGATGCGGACCCATTGTTCGCTAAGAATCCGTTTTTCAGTGAGGGAGAGGTGTGGTCGACGGAAAGGAAACGTTTGACCTACGCGTTTTCCAGCTCCAAGCTGAAGTCTCTCTTCGTAACAGTTACTGGAGTGTGCGAGAAATTTAAAAACTATCTGAACAGGCGACTGAGCTCGAACGACAAGTACGAGGTTGAACTGAAGTATCTATTTTCGAAATTCACTGGCGAAGTTGTGGCGAACGCTGCTTTAGGCATCGAGGGACGCTGTTTCGAGGATAAAGACGACCCTAACGCTTTTGACCAGATCGGTCACTCGTTCTTCAAACCGACAAAGTTGGAAAAATTTTTCTCGCAGTGCATATTCCTTTTGCCCGAACTGAATCACCTATTGAAGATCCGTTTCGTGCCCAAGCAGCTGGATCAATTATTCAGGAAGATAGTCGAGAAAAATATGGAGATTAGACGCAAAGAACCGGCACCCAGGAACGACTTTCTGCAACTGATGATAGATCTTGAGAAGACAGGGGAGGCGTTGGATTTGGAGGCTGTTACTGCACACGCGTTCTCGTTTTATGCCGATGGATTTGAAACATCGAGCACTACATTGAGCTTTATTGGATATCAATTAGCCACTCATCAGGACGTTCAAGACAGGCTAAGGAACGAGGTGAAGACGGTGATCGAGAAACACGGTGGTGCGCTGACGTACGAAGGACTGAAGGAGATGACGTACATGGACCAAGTGATCAACGAGTCGCAAAGATGTTATGTAGCTTTAACTATTCTAAACAAAGAATGCTCGGAAAGTTTCGTATTGGAAGGATCGGACGGGCTTCGCTGTCACGTTAAACCTGGCACACAAATTCTTATACCGATTCAGGCACTACAGTTGGATCCAAAATACTGGCCCGATCCGCAGAACTTTGATCCAGAACGATTCAGCGAAGAGAGAAAAGGTGGGATAAAAAAATATACGTTTCTACCATTCGGTGAGGGTCCGAGGATGTGCGTAGGTATGAGAATGGCACTAATGCAAATGAAGGCGTGTTTGGCTACTTTGTTGAAAGATCACAAAATTGAATTGTCACCAAAAACAAAACTGCCATTAAATGTCACGTCTATCTTCTTTTTCCTATCACCAATAGGTGGACTCTGGGTAAATATATCGAAACTTTGATAAATATTCAAAGATTCCATTAATAAATATATAGCAAACATTGACGTAATTCCAGTAATTGTTTCTTTAATTACGAAAATGTCTGCGAAACTAATTTACTAATACCGATATAGATCGATCGCAAATTATACAGAACCCGTTGATGTGAATAATTATTATTTTACGATCAATAAAATTAATTGTTGCGATGCTGTCTTGTTTATTTGTAGATAAAGAAATTGCGAAAGAGGAGCGTACAATTGATAACAGTGAGATATTAATACTAAAGTGTTACATAACAATCTATGCGATAAGAATTATATTTAATTTAATCTGCTTGAACAAACAAAAAATAGGAGATAGATACAGAGGTACTAAGTGACAGAGCATTTATGGCAATATGCGTCGAGTGCAAATCTATCTCCTGTGTCTCAGAACGTTGGAGCCCGAACGAGTTCGCTGAGTGGTTTCCCGTGTTCACCCATCGCTATGTACATATACGCTGAACGTTACGTTTGTGCACGCATACATTCTATACATATTTAATATGTATATCGGTTTATATGCCATGTACGTATGAAATCTCCGAACGAAATGAAAACTCAGTGGAAAAAGAAATTGATTCGCACACAATTCTTTTCTTCGACCGATTTGTATTATTTTGGTTTCTCGAGAAAGCTAACATACGCGTTTAAAACCGACTGGGGATCGAGTTCCCAATAGTTTAATTCACGACCGATCTCGGCGGTGAATTATATCTTGGAATAACTCCTTTTGACAGCTCCCCGGGCAGAACACAATGAACTCGTGAGTTATTCTCCCAGCTTCTTTTTCCTCGCTCGTCTTATCCCTCTTCACGACCGATCGGTTCCTTACGGCGCGCGTGAAACAAGAAGTCGAGGTGAACACGTGCACGCGGATAGTGCAAACCGTGTGCCGTCATTCTATAGATAAGGGGCGAGGAGATGAGAGGAGAGCGCACGATGAAGGTGAAAGAGTGGTTCGAGGGATGGAGAAAAAGGGCCGCCGTGTCGTAGTGCATCTTTCTCTGATTTCCCGCGGGAGAAGTCGCCTCGGCAGCTTTCTCCCACGTTGTCGAAGGTGGAATGGTACGAAGATAGAGAGAAAGGTGGTAGGTGAACACAGAGCCCGCAACGCGCGTCCTCGCGTGGCATGATTTATTTTATTGCTTTTTGAGAAGCTAGCATAATTCCACCCTCGCCCCGTACTAGCAGTTATTTAGCCCCCACCATCGTGCATGTAGAAGAACGGACGGCATGGATCGAGGACCACAGCTGGAGATCAACAGGTACAGGGCTCCCAGTAACCCTCGACTACATCAAGAGACTAGATCACTTGTCCCTTATCGTATAGGAGAGGATTATTGAGAAAGAAGAGCAAATTATAACTTTTAAACGTTACGGATGGTAAAGCGAAAATTAAATAGACGACAGAGACACGAGTAATCGATCCCAACTCGAAATAGGAGGCGTGCAAGTCGGATATGATTTAATTAAAGCGGACGTTGGTAACAGAGCGACGTAGTAAATTGAAGATTACCAAGCAAACTAATCCTTTTAAATGGAACATAACGATTGGAATGGTGAAGATTGACGAATTCGATTGTTTTTGACTACAGTTGCAGTAATTATTAAATTAATCCCTTTGAATGGAAGTTCGTCCACTATTTACGTCTAAATCCTATCATCCCCTTTTCTAGCCACCAGTCCCGTTCTTCTCCATTCAATTCCCAGAGTACCGATAGATTAACTAATTTAATCGAAAGTATATGCTATAAATACCGAGGAATAAAATTCAATTGGCAGTACTTCTAGCAAAACGTTTTGCGTGAATATGGGAATAATAAAAAATATGCGTCTGCACACGGGAACGGTGGTGGTGGCTCTTCACATATGAAAGATAAATTTTTCAAACGACCGTGAAACGACTTCTCTCGGCCTCGTTCGTTCTTGGTTTCCGGGTGTTGTATTTCTTTCTTTACTCTTGTTCGACGATATTAGCATCCCGGTTGAAAGGATACCGGAAGAACGTCAACCCGGAGCCGTAATATACTTGCTCGCCGCCTTTTCCGAATGCACGTCGCCAAGAGGTAAAGAGGTGGGGGTGAGCAACGGAATGGAGAAAAGGGGATGGCGACAGGGTCGTACCAGGAAATTTCACGGAGTGGCGCAATAACGTTTCTTATGCCACGTTTCCGGAGTGGCGTGCCGGTTGTTGGTGTGGGTGGCTTGCAAATACTCACCGAGCGAGAGAGGAAGAATGAGAACGTACAATAGAGAGGGTGAAAATAGTAGAGAAAGGGAGGAGATGCAGTCACTCTCTGGCATGCAATTAGGAGCTAGGCATCGCACCGGGAAGGATCCCTCTCTTTCAATGTTCCTGCCTCTGGCTAGAGAGAATCTACCCCCGTTCTTGTTTCACTGCACTCCTACCCCTTCAGCCCCTTTGTCACGATCCTTCCGCCGTTCGTTCGATTCTCGGTACGTATACAGATACAATACACAGATTTTCTCGCTCGCACACTTTTCCATAATACGTGTCAGCGTTTCTCGACACACGTACTACCACCGCGCGCACACCATCCGAATAACGACTATAGAAAATATTATCAAGCGAAGTTGCAGCTCGAAAATTCTGCAACCGTTCTCTCGTGAAAATTGGAAAATTGTTATTCCAAATATAATAGGAGGAAGGAGGTTATTAACTGCGTGTTACGCTAACTCGATAAAGGATTTATCGCGCGGGAGGAGGGAAAAAGCTTTTTTGGCGAGAACTACCGATGCTTCCACTTGTAACGCGGCCATCGCCGACGCGCGTAACGTGAATGGAAAATGAAATTTCCCATCGGCGTCTAACGCGATTTATGACGGAAATTTTTTGAGATTGCACCACCACTGAATGGAACGGGGTATCAAACGGAGTCGAGTGCGCAAAAAAAAAAGGACAGGAGGGGTTTGAAACATTGCCGCTGCGAGCCGGCAAACGGGGGCGAAGCAGATAGTGCCATTCAATGCTACCAACGGTTGATTCCCGCGGGAACGGCCAGTAAACACTAACGCCAATCCCGTTTCGCCCTCTCTTTCCTTTCTGTCTATCTATTTCTCGTTTCCCGTCCGTTTTTTCTCGATCCGGCGGCCTCCCACCTCGCGACGACGCGTAATAACGATAATAAATCGTTGCTGAGTGATTTAGGGGTTCATTTTAGCAGGCCGAAGTTCCGCGCGCGCGAGCGAGAAGAGACCCTCGCAGATTATAGAGAGTATAAGTCATTTTACGTCAATCCATGAGTTAGTGACACCGACATCCGCAGCGTGACGGACTCCCTCGCAAATTGTTCGGCTGCTCTTTGTCAGAGGTAATTTTCCTATCTGACTGAAACGTTGAAAAATACGCGACCCGATGCGTTGCGTCGCGTCGTCTGTCCGAGAGCGAAAACTGCGCACTCAACGCGCGTGAGATTCGTTTCGACTCCATATGGAACAGCTTTCGATGAAAAAGCAATTATTTTATTCGTTCCTCTTAGTTTTTCCTCATTAACGAGGCTCGTGATAAGAACATAATCGTTGTTTACGCGATAAACGTTGACAGTTTGCCGACAAACCATCGATCACTCTTGCGGCTATTCACGCAAGAGCAAAATGTATCTTCCGAGCGATAACGAGATAAAACGGGTGGGTGACTGTTTGAACATCGATAAAACTCTGTCAGCGATATGAGTGCCATTGACTCGCGGAAAAATAGCTTGTTGATATAAGACGCGGGATCCTATTACCGGAAATTAACAAAGCTCTTGTACACAAGGTCGGTAGTTGGCGGCTAACGAACAGAGAGAGTTGGGAAACAAGTTCCTGTTTCTCGTGCTTGCCTCTAGGTCATTCAATTTGACCAAGCAGGAAAACAATGGGTTTAATCTCGGCCAGTCACAATGCGCGCCACTCGCTGGTCTTTCCTAGCCGATAACGCGGCTGCACTGTCCGGCAGCGTTCGCCGAATGAGAAAGAGACCCCCACGGGAAAGAAATTGGTTTGCTCGAAGTAATGATAATCGATCGCTATAGCTTAGCAGATATAAATTCCATTTTCCTGACGGACGCTAATATATACCATTTATCCCTCTTGCTTCCTCATTTATTCCATTCGCTGAGGCCGGTCTAATAAACGAATCGATCGATCTTCCTGCGAAAACGGACGAGTCGATGGAGCAATTTCGTTGCGCCTGATTTTGTGTTCCGTACGTTTCATGCGTGTACGAGCGAATGGATTCAGTGTTAGCTTTCGGACGGGGAAAGAGGAAGGTAAAGACGAAGCCACGTCTGCTGGTATCTTTACGACCTCCCTGGGACATAAACTGGTGTTATCCCTCTGTAGCCGGCAGAGATGGTAGACGCACACCCACGTACGTGACATCGCGTACAAGCTGCGACCGCACACGACACATTGACGAACCGTCGATCCTTTCTGCCAGTTAGTCTCACCGAGGTACTAGGACAGCGATAGGACATCAGCCTCTAAGCATCACCCTTGAACCGGTGGACGGTACAAACCCCAATATTGTCGGAAGAAAGCAGGATAAGCCGGTCCCGGGTACAATGGAGACTCTCCTGAATGGAGGTGTCGAAACTGTTCAGACCACGGAACACCTTTTACCACCGAAATTATTTACGAACCCACGAACGAAAGAGCTACACGTGAATTAAACGTATCTTCGCGTTCCCTACGAATTTGTATTTGCTAAAGGGCTAACGCGCCGGGAATTGTCTCAGTTCGTGCGACGTTCCTGGATGCAGATATGCATATGCATATTTACGTCCGGGCGGACCTACCCATTTAACAGCGTAACAGGTGTATTCCGTCCCCACCGAGAGATACGGCCATCCTTTCCGGTCAATCTAACTTAGATATTACAATCAAGACAACAGTTCAAACGTTATCGACTAATCCTCTACGGATGCGTAGACAATTATCGATGGAACTTGGACGGTTTCTTTAATTTTCTATACATACACGTACACCCGCAATTTCACGGTAAAAGTATCTAGTTCATACATACGTCTGACAGCTGTCGGTGGCAACGTCTCCTATCATTCAGTTTGTATTACAGGCGGTCATAAAGTTACGCTCGAAATCGATTTCTCCTTCGCCCGTAAAACAGAATCCATAAGAAGCAATGTTTCTGAATTTTTGAGACG